GTAATCCCTTGAGTTTGGGCCAGGGGTGGGGAATCCATGGCCTTCTAGGTCCTCAGGTGCTGCCTTTTGACTGAGTCCTAGTTTCACAGAACAAATCCTTTTATGAAGGGGATTTCTTCTGTGAAATTTGGATTCAGTCAAAGGGCCGCACTTGAGGACCTAGAGGGCCACATGTGACCTCAAGGCCACAGGTTCCCTGCCCTTGGTCTGGGCTCTGAAAGAGAAATCCCTTAGCCTGCTGGGGTGGTAGCAATAGAAATAGGTTCCCAAACAGCCAGGGTCCCTTTTGTGTCCCGAGTATTCTTGTATTACAGGGGCCAAAATTACTCCTGGGTTTACGGGCACCAAGTAGTCTTGGGGAGGAGCCAGCAGCCCAGGGCAATGAGCTTTCCATGGAGCATGGGAAGGAATGAGAGAAAAAGGACAAAAGAAGAGAGAGAAAGGGAGGTGGAAAGGAGGGGAGGGGACCCAGAAGAGGCAGAAAGGAGGTTTTCCTTGGAGAACAGCAGGCAGGATGCTTGTGGGGGCTGGCCATGGGGGGAGGGAGGCAGGATTAGGCCCTTTCCTTGGCTCTTTCCTAATGTGGGGGTAGCTTCCTCCAACAGCCACCTGGCCCAAGAGCAGCAGTTGCCCCCTCCCCCTGCCCACCCCCAGCTGAGCTTGCAAAGTCATGTGCCTGCCCCTTTCCTCTCTTGGGGGCTGCTGAGAAGCTGGCAGACTCTTCTAGGAGAACTCTTGCTGAAATGGAGGCCTTCTGGGGCCAGGAATGGGCGCCACCCAGGAATGCCTCACTGCCTCCCCTAGACAGACATCTCCAAAGGAAAATGCCAAGAAAGTGGAGATTCACGGCCAAGGTTCCCCAGATCACAACAGGAAGGTACCCTGAACTCCAGGAACCATAACCCAGAACCTGCTGCTGAATTGGGAGAAAGAGGATCTGCTACTTCCTCCCAGTGTGACTGTGGCCAAGTCCCTTTCCTTCTCTGGTCCTGGCTTCCTCTTCTGTTAAATGGACAGGGGGCCTCAAAGGGCCCTTCTAGGTCTAGAGGTAGAAAGCTTTGTGTATGGGAGACATTCTGGGTGTGGCCCCGGTGGCAGTCAGAGCTGGCCCTAAGGGCCTCTTCCCTGCCCTCTGGGTTTGGGGTACGCTGCAGCAGTTTGGAGCTTGGGGCAGCTAGGTGGCGCCAGAGTGCAAGAGTGCCAGGCCTGGAGTCAGGAAGATTCACCTTCCTGAGTTCAAATCCGGTCACAGACATTTCCTGGCTGTGTGACCCTGGGCAAGTCACTTTACCCTGTTTGCCTCAGTTTCCTCATCTGTAAAATGAGCTGGGGAAGGAATGGCAAATCACTCCAGTATCTCTACCAAGAAGACCCCAAATGGGGTCACGGAGAAACAACTAAGCAATAAATAGCAGCAGCTTGTGGCTTTAGCCCCCTCGAGCAGCTGGCAAAATGGAGGGGCACAGAAGGCTGCCAGCCTCCTCATGTAGCCCCCTTGAGCAGCTGGCCACCTTCTTGGCCCTTCTCTGTGGCAGCCTGCTGAGCCGATGCAGAGCAGAACAGCCTTCAAAAGCTAATGGGGGGGGGGTGGCAGCTAGGTGGTGCAGTAGATGGAACACCAGCCCTGAAGTCAGGAGGACCTGAGTTCAAATCCGGCCTCAGACCAAACACTTGACACTTACTAGCTGTGTGACCCAGGGAAAGTCACTTAACTCCAATTGCCTAGCAAAAAAAAAAAAAGCTAATGGGGTACCAGCTCTACAGTGTCCTAGCTGTGTGACTCTGGACAGGTCAATCCCCCTTTGGGAGTCTCAGTTTCTTTATATGTCACATGGGGCTAATAATAAACACTTGCACTACCCACTTCACAAAGGACATATAGGCCTTAGAAGGTGAAAGAAACTTTTGTCATTGCCCGTGTCTCAGTGCTAGGTCCGTGGTGAGGGTCTGCAGCCATGTGCGACTGACTTTGATCATGGGTACGAGAATACAAGTGGGGCCCTGTTGCTGCTTTGGTGACTGTATGGGTCCCAAGCCTCTGATGAGGAAGAGGGAACTGCTTCAATCTCCTCAGCTGCCTCCCTGGCCTGGCCTTCATTGCCCCATTTAGACAGCATAGCTCCCCCCAGGAAGGCAGCAGCTATTACTATCCCTCCCCCAGCCCCAAATGCACCCTTTCTTTTCCTCTCTTTTTAACACATGGAGAAACTGAGGCTCTGAGAAAGGAGCACCTCACCAGACATTACATGGCTAGTAATGAGGCAAACCCCAGGCCTGGAACTCAAGGCTTTGGGGCCCAGACTTGCAGTCCATTTTCCAAGGCATTCTGGGCTATTTTGCAGGCCAACCAAGGCAGGAGAGGCAAGCACCCCACTAAGGAAAGAAGGCAGGAGGAGAAGAGGTCCCCCAAGGGCAGAGTGGAAGTGGGGGGCAGGAGGAAGAGAAGGAAAAGTGATGTGATGGACAGAATGGTGAGTCAGGGCCAGGGGAAGGGAGGCTACGGTGAAATTGGCTGTCTTTGTTGCCACCATGTGGCTGCTGACTGAGAGACAAGCTATCCCAGGAGCAGCTCTCCTCTCGGCCTCCACGGCTCTGCTCAGAACTGGCAGAGTCTGAGAGCCCACGAGGCCTGAACCCCACTGGAGAAGGGACCTGGCCAAGGGTACCCAAGGAGCCAGGGTTCCTGCCTTCTCCTCCTTCCCAGTGCCTTCTAGGCCTTCTTTCAGGGCTTGCTGAGGGCTGCCACTCTGGGGATGCAGATCTTGCTTATGGTCTCCCAGCACCCTGCATGAGCACAAAGGATGTGCTGGACGTCATAAGAAGGAAGCAGTCAAAAGAGAGGCCTGGAGATGGAGCCAGTGGGCTAGCAAATGATTCAAAGTGGGGACACGCAGCCTACAAGCAGCCAGTGCCAAGGGGAGCCTGTAAATGCTGACACCCTCCCTCCCTCTGGGCAGGTCAGAATCTGAGCCCCAGAACTGGATCCGAAGGACCCTGGAGAAAGACAGGAACAACATACGTGTGAGGAGGAGAAGGGGGCAGAAGCGATGGGTCAGGTGGTGGAGGCACAGACTGGGACTTTGCATGCCCATGTATACTCTCTCAAATATCCAACCTCCCAGTTCCTCAATGTCCTCATTTCCCGAGACCTGCTCTTCCACTCTACTCCTACCACTGTTCTTTCCCCTCACAGTGACCTCCAGTCTCTGGACTCCTCAGGGCATCAGCCCTTTCCTGGCTACCCTCTGCTCCCTTCCCCGGCTCCACACTGTCCTCTCCTCTAGAAGCCTTTGCCCCCTCGGCTTATTGCTTACCATGCCTTGCCAAGCTACACCCCATTACCTGCCATGTTTGCTCCTCATCACAAGTGGAACAGGTGAAAGTCACCAAACTGGACCCACTACAAATACATCACCTAATCATGGCTGGGCCCTCCCTACGGCACCTCTCCCCAAGTCACCCAGTCTCCAAAGAGGCTCTTGCAAAGCTCCTTTTTTCCCTCTCCAGCTGAGAAGCCCTTTCCACCTTCTTCCTTCTCTCCTATTACTCAGGCATCTTCCTTCACTGCTTCCTCCTTTACTCCTTTCTCTGAAGAAGTAACATCCCACACCACAGCAAAGCCAAAGCCAAAGAAGGCCCCTGCCCTGCCCTCCTGGCCAGCACATTGCCCCCTTTTCTCATCTTGACCCTCTGATCTTCAGTCTCTACCTATGTACTTACCTTCCATAGGAAGCCTTCTCCAACCCCTTTTAATTCTTGTGCCTTCCTCTGTTAATAATTTCCTATTATCTCTTTTGATCTCATCAACCCCCAAGGGGTTCAACAGTGATTTCTAGGCAGGTGATGCCCAGATCTATATACATCAGCCCTAATCTCTCTCCTGAATTTCAGTCTCATTTCACCCCCTCACTGCCTTTTGAACATCTCAATTTGGATGTTGTAAAGCATCTCAAATTCCACCCAACTCTGGGTCTTTCCCCCAAATCCTCGCTTCTTCCTGACGTCCTTATTATTGTCAAGGGTTCCCCAGGCTCACAACTTCAGTATCCTGCTTGACTCTGCACTCTCTCCCTGTCTCCAGCCAATCTGCTGCTAAGGCCTATTGATTTGACCTTCACATCTCTCGGATACACCTCCTTATTTCCTCTGACACTGCCACCCCTTGGTGCAGGCCCTTAGCACCTGCTGGTTAAGCTTCCTGCCACAACTCTCTCCCACACTAGTCTGTCCCAAAGCATAGGTCTGACCATGTCACCACGGTCAAATAAAAGTCCTCCATTTGGTGTTAAAACTTCTACCAGCCTATCCCTTCCTCCTCCCTTTTAAGTGTTATACTTTACTTCCCTCTATGGACTGACTATAATCTAACCACATTGGCCTTCTGCTGTGCCTATCTCCTATCTCCAGGCCTTTGCACTGGCTGTGCCCCGGGCCTGAACTTCTCTCCCTCCTGCCCTCTGCCTCTCATTTTCCTTGGCTTCCTTCAAGACTCAACTCTGGTTTCCCTGGCTTCATGGATCTACTTATCTTTACGTTGTCTCCTCAGCTAGATTGGGAGCTCCTTGTGGGCAGAGAATGTGCTTAGCGTAGCACGTGGCTCTAAGGAAATCTTTGCTAAATGGTTGTTAAATGACTAAAGCTTGATTTCAGGAAAAATTTTCTGTCAGTGAGAACAAACAGTGGAACAGACAACCTGGGGCGCCCCTTCTCTGGGGGCCTCAAAAAGAATCTGAATGCCCTCTAGTCTGTGATATGGTTAGATGTGGCCTCAGAGATTCCTTCCAACATGAGGACTCTTCAGGACTCATGGCCTGGGAATCCCCCCCAAGCAGGTCTGAAATCTGGGAATCTGCCCCCCAAGCAGGTCTGAGGTCTTGGGAATCCCCAGCAGTAGACCTGATGGCCTGGGAATCCCCCCTCCTTCCCTGCCCTACCCCACCCCTCCCTGTCCCTCCTACTCCCCTCTTCTGGCACACTGAGGCCTCTTGGGCACCTCTTACCTAAGTGAAACTGACTGGAAGCGTTCCCACAGGTCTGCATCACCTCAGGGCTGTTCCAGCCTAGGGGGTACAAGGCACAGCCTGCACCAATCAGCAGACCTAGGACAAAAACATACATACTGGAGAATGGGTTGAGAAGCCCCAGCCCTAGCCTACCTCCTCCAGGAAGCCTTCCCTTATTATTCCCAGCTACCTCATTCTTTCCTTTTTTAGAACCTCCATAGTCTCAGTCATGTATACCATGAAAATAGTCAAGGTGGTGATCTAAACAGGACTCAGTGAGTAATGTAGGCCACTGAGGGAGGAACTGCTTGTTAGCAAGACCTTGTTAGCAAGAGGTCTGGCCAGACCTGTGCCTCGATAGGAAACGTGTCTCTTCCATCACTCCCAAGGACTGCTGGGACCTACCACCAAGCTTGACTCTGAAAGGGGCTCTGGTGGGGAGTGAGGCTGGCCTGGCTCAGGTGTTCAGACAGCTGGGTGAAGCACCGAAGAGAGGAGGCCCAGGTCTCTTCTGTGCTCCTCTTTTTCCTGAGGAAGCATCTGGAATCATCTCACTCTCCATTCGGATTGCTCCCTCCATGACAGGATGTCAAAGCATCTTCCAAACTAGACTGGTATATATGCAAGTTGGCAGCTGATGAGAGCAGAACAATAAGAAATTGGGTAGAAGCTTGAGCAGAAGTAAGTGTACGGCATCAGGGATGACTCCCTGATGGGAATGCAACGAGTAAGCAAGGCAAATGATGGCGTCTCCTTCGTGGGATAGCTTTAAAAATAGATGAGATTCTGTCCTGTGGACGATCACTTCATTGTGGTATTTTTGCCTTGAGGATTGGGGGGAGCTCAGAGAGTAACATTCCCACTTCTCTCCAATGAGAACAAGATCCCAACAACTCTGTGAGCTAGGCAGTGCAAGTATTAGCATGCCCATTTGATGGATGAGAAAGCTGAGGCTCAGAGTGGAACAGTCACTTAGTCATGGTCACAGAGCTTCTAAGTATCAGAGCCAGGATCAAACTTAGCTCTCTTGACTCCTGAGGCTGCAGCACTTCTGACTTTAGTATGCTACTTTCCTTCTCAAGGAGGAGGCTGTGGTTCACTCACTGGGAACACCAGAGGCTCAGGGCCAGGCTGCAAAGGTAGGCAAGGTCAGGCCTCTCTGCCCAGTGCCCATGCCTACTGTCATCCCAAAGAGCACCTCAAACTGGCTGGAAACCAAAGAGAAGCAAATCTGCCTTCTGGCCCAGGCCCCAGGCCCCAGGCCCAGCTTCTCAGGGAGCAAAGTGGGTTCTGGTCAGGTGCCCTCTTAGCCACTGAGCCCAAGGCTAGAAGAGACTGCAGGTGCCTGGACAAAAGAGGAGAAAGGACTGGTTCAAGGTCCCCTGAAACATGAGGGGTAGAGCCCCAGGCCCTACGGTTCCTCCCAGCCCTCTCCAGGGTGGGGCTCAGTTGCCAAAGGCTAGAGAGGAAATAGTAACAATTAGGTTGGCTCCACCCTGTGACCCCTGTTCCAGGCTTCATTCAGCTTCCTCACCCTACCTTCCCTTTCCTTCTAACTGTGCCCTAGATGAGGCACCATAAAGGACCAATCAGAGTGTGCCCAGATTGACACAGAGGTGATTTGGGGGGAAGGACACACTGCCATCACTTGTGTCCATCCAGGGAAAGGATGCCAAGGTGTAGCCATCCGGTGGGAGAAGGCTAAGAGAGCTGGAGAAAACATGCATTTCCACCCAGCCATCTGCCTTGTAACTCTCAACTAATCCCATTATGTTTGCTCAAAAGACTGAGGCCAACTCTTCCATGCATGTTTAAAAAATCAAAATGAAGTCCACGGTCAATTACATGCAAGTGTATTGGGAATCCATAGCAACCTACGCACTTCTACAAAAGGCCGGAGAACTGGGGTAAATTGCAGCAGCCTGTGTGTGGCTTGCTGGAGGCATGCATGCTGGGCCAAGTCCAGAAAGCGTCTTCACTGCCACCGTGGGCAGAAGGACAAGGAGGGGAAAGAACAGGGTGGCCAGGCAGTTGGACTGGATTCTTCACTCTGGCTCACTGACTTTGGGTGGCCTTGGCCAAAGGATTCTACGTTTCCTGGGCTTTTATTTCCCAGGTGCTAGTACTGAAAGGGACCTTGGAAACCCACTCATTATACAGAGGAGGAAACTGAGGCTGAGAACAATTATGGAACTTGCCTAGTGTCAAATGCATAGGGCAGGATTCGAATCCAGAGTCTCTGCCTCAAAATCTAGGGCTCTTTCTCCTTTACCATGAGTGCAGCAAGGATGAAAAAAATAGTAATGCCTGTTGGGACTCTGGAGGCTTTCAGAGAAGATGGGAGGAGGCATTGCTCCATTCTGAGGAGTCCAGGCACACGGTTTCCAATGGCTATGTTAGGGTAGAGATTCTATTCAATGTAATTCAATGAGCATTTATTAAGCTCTTACTATGTGCCAGGCATGGTGGTAGCTGCTGGGGCAACAAAGGTCAAAATGCCAAAAGTCAAAAGGTCTTTGCCTTTCAGAAGTTTACATTTTATCAGGGGAGATAACATGCACACATAAATTTAAACAAAGTATATACAAAAGCTATTTGTGGGGTTGGGGGAGAGCCCTACCAAGTGAGGGATTCAGAAAAGGCGCCATGCACATAGATGACACCTGAACTGAGCATGGAAGGAAGCCAGAAGTGAGGAGAGATGGGGAGGAGGAGGGCATGCCAGGCATGGGAAACAGCATGGATAAAGGCACAGAGGCAAGAGATGAATGCCACTTGCAGGAAACAGAAAGGAGTCTGGTTTAGCTGGAAAGCAATGTCTGTGAAGAGGAGTAGTGGCAGACAAGTCAGGAAGACTTTGCATGGAGGGGCAGGAGAGATTACTAGGGAATCAGTGGCGCTTGGCAAGGAGGGGGTGATGTGGTCAGAACTGCGCTTGAGGAATGCCGAGTGGAGGCAAGGAGACTGATCGGGAGGCAGATGTGATAGTCCTAGAGAGTGGGCCTAGGGTACTGAATGTGTGAGTGGAGAGGAGAGCACCCACATGAGAGATATGGAGGGGTAGAAGCAACTGGATTTCACAACTTCTTGGATGTAGGAGCCATGGATTATGGGAGGAGAAGGCAGAATCAAGGCTGACTCCAAGGCTGTGGTGGGCCTCACGACAGGAACAAGGAAGTGAGGAGGGGAGGTTTGAGCCGTCCACGGGACATCCAGCTGGAGGTGTCCAAGAGGCAGTGATGCGGGCCTGGTGCTTAGGAAGCAGACCAGGGCTGGAAGTTTGTGTGTAGAAATGACAGTTGAAACCTTGGGAACTATTAGACCGCCAAGGGAGAAAGTACAAAAGAGTGGCTGTTTGGGATGATCTGGGCCCTGGGAAGGCGTACTGTAGCCACACAGAGAGCCAAGAGCCCAGAGGGCAGGGCTGGCTTCATGGATCCAAATGGGGGCCTCAGCATGGCTGGAGTAGAGGCCTGACAAGTCACCCCTCAGACTAGAGCCACATTTAGGATGCTCCTTAAGCCCTTTTACTTGTGGTAGGAGAGGGAGGGTCCTTTACATCACCCAGCCTGGGCCCCACTCTGAGGCAGAGGGCCTCAGGCCAGCCGGGCACTTCCAGAGTGTAGTTAAGCTGCATTTCCTGGCTGCTTAGCAATCAGTTGCAAGGGCTGGGGTCTGGAAGGACCTTGGGAAACCAGTTTCAATCTGTGCTCCAGAAAAAACAGCAAGACTTTCCTGTGTAACGTTCCTATGGTTGTTCCTTGGGATTTGTCTTGGAGTCATAGCTGAAAAGGAGGCCCTGGCAGCTGTTGGGGTAGCAGTCCCCACCTGAGGCCCCACCTGACCAGCTGCTCCCTTCTTCCTTATGGGAGGAGTGATCTGGAAGTGAAATGTGCTCTGTATTTGTTTCTCTCCCCCCACGGGCTGGAGTAGCTCCCTAAGGTGCTGTTCCACCCCATGAGCCCCTGCTAGAGCAGCAGGAGGGATCTGTGGGGGGAGGGGTGGGGTGGGGGTGCTGGGGTCACCTTGTCTGCTCTGACTCTGGGCAGGAGCAGCTCCTGACTCCTTCCTGCACTTTGGCTCCCACATCTCATCTCCGCGGTCAAGGGCTTGGCAGAGACAGTGGAGACTGGGTCCTTAATGGATGTTCTCTCAGTGGTTTGGGGGCCCATAGACATGAATCTTCCCTGGACGTAATTGGCTCCTTCGCTGATGTATTTTGGTTAATGCACACACTGCCGAGAAAGTGCAGGACCCAGGACAAAATCAATCTCCCTCAGCTGACCTGGGGGCTGGGGAAGCCCACCTCCTGTCTCTCTAGTGTCTTCCTTCCATGTCACACAATTGGCTGCCTTCCTGCCCAGGAGGAAGCTGGCCTCTGGGACTTGGGTGGCCAGCCTGTATCTGGTACCCACATAGTCTTTCCTAAGTGACACCCTGGGGTACTGCTGTCCCAGGGGGGGTCTATCCCCCAGGGCAGTGCCACCCCCACATCCCAGTGAGCCTTGCCAGGTACACTTCTAGAAAAGGGGAATTTTACAAATGGGGAAGTTGAGGCACAGAGAAGAGAAGGCAAGTAGGAAGAAGGAGGCACCCAAGAGCTAGGACCAGATCCCCAAGTCTTGGTTTTAAGAAACATGGAGGACTGGAAAGAGCTCTGGTCTGAGGCTAGCTCTGCCATGACTTCCATTCTCTCCCTTGTCCACTCCATCCTTCACACTGCTACCAAAATACTCTTATGATCTGGCCACATCACTGCCTCACTCAGCTGGCTTCTAGCTAGGATAAAGTACAAGTTCCTAATGCTGGCATTTAGAGCTCTTCTGAAAGGACCGTGGCTTTACTTACCCACCTGTACATAGTTGTGTTGATTCCCCCCACCATGTTAATGCTTCCTCCCCTCTCAGATTACCTGGGACTTAACAGCTGGGAAGACCACCTTTCTCAGCCTCAGTGTCCTCATACTTGCATTACCTTTCTCCCAGAAATGTGCCACACGCACCCCTCATTTGGATGAATGTGGAAGAGCTGACTTCATAATCCCACCCCCCACATTTACTAGCTGTGTGACTCTGGCCAAGTTACTTAACTGCTCTCTGTCTCAGTTTTCTCATCTGGAAAATGGGGGTAAATATAGCACTTATCTCCCAGGGTTGTTGTGAGGATCACATGAGATGATTGTAAAGTGTTTTTACCAACTTTAAAGTACTTAATGGTAGTTAGTGATTGTGTTATTATTATTATTATTATTATTGGTACTTCTCTCTTCTCCCTTCTGCCACTCTTAGCTCAGTGCTTGAGCTAAGCCCTAAAGGAGACTAGGGATCCTCAGAGATGAGGATCCTCCCAGAAGTGAGGACCAATGCATTCTGGGCATGGAGGGCAGCCTGTGCAGAGACAGGGTGGAGATGGGAGATGACGAAGATCTCTAATTGGTCGGTTTATCCAAGGAGGATGATGATGGTGATGGTGATGGTGATGATGGTGATGGTGATGATGATGATGGTGACGATGATGGTGATGGTGATGATGATGATGATGACGATGATGACGATGATGATGATGGTGATGGTGATGGTGATGGTGATGGTGATGGTGTTGATGGTGATGGTGATGGTGATGGTGATGGTGTTGATGGTGATGATGATGATGATGGTGATGGTGATGGTGATGGTGATGGTGATGGTGATGATGATGGTGATGGTGATGATGATGATGGTGATGATGGTGATGGTGATGATGATGATGATGACGATGATGACGATGATGATGATGGTGATGGTGATGGTGATGGTGATGGTGATGGTGTTGATGGTGATGGTGATGGTGATGATGATGATGGTGATGGTGATGGTGATGATGATGATGATGATGATGGTGATGGTGATGATGATGATGATGATGGTGATGATGATGGTGATGATGATGATGATGATGGTGATGATGGTGATGGTGATGGTGATGGTGATGGTGATGATGATGACGATGATGACGATGATGATGATGGTGATGGTGAGGGTGATGGTGATGGTGATGGTGTTGATGTGATGGTGATGGTGATGATGATGATGGTGATGATGATGGTGATGATGATGATGATGATGATGGTGATGGTGATGATGATGATGATGATGGTGATGATGATGGTGATGATGATGATGATGATGGTGATGATGGTGATGGTGATGGTGATGATGATGATGATGGTGATGATGGTGATGGTGATGGTGATGGTGATGATGATGATGATGGTGATGATGGTGATGGTGATGATGATGATGATGGTGATGGTGATGATGATGATGATGGTGATGATGGTGATGGTGATGATGATGATGATGATGACGATGATGGTGATGGTGATGGTGATGGTGATGATGGTGATGGTGATGATGGTGATGGTGATGGTGATGATGATGATGATGGTGATGATGGTGATGGTGATGATGATGATGATGATGACGATGATGGTGATGGTGATGGTGATGATGATGGTGATGGTGATGGTGATGGTGATGATGGTGATGGTGATGGTGATGATGGTGATGGTGATGGTGATGGTGATGAGTATGTAATAATACTGGAAAGCTAGGTTTGGGCCAGGTTGTAAAGGGCTTTCAAAGCCAAACAGAGTTGTTCCTTGAGGTGAAAGGGAGCTACTGGAATTTAAGCTGGGAGTGACATGGTCACTTTAGTAAAGTGGGTCCTATTATTATCCCAGAATAAGGGAACTCAGGTGAAAACACTTGTCTAGGCTCACAGAGCAGCACTGGCTGGCCTCCCCTCCCAGGGCAGCCCTCTCCCTAAGCTCTTCCTTTGGGCAGCCATTCCTAGCCGAGGCTGACCCCAGGGCCACAGCCAGGTATGCAAAGGATGCAAAAGAATTCCCCCAGATTTGCACATGATTTTCACGGGGCTGCCTGAGCATCTATTCTCAGACAATACCAGCTAGATGGGATGAGGTTCTTCTGAAGCCCATGACCATATGCCTCTCCTCTCTGTTCTTTGTCACCCTCCCACCTGTGGCTGCGGCCGGGGCTGGGGCCACGCAGCCAGGGCCCCTAGAGTAGACGAGGAACCCAAGTGAGGCAGGAGATGACAGGGTTCCCAAGCTCATAAACCCAAAGGAGCTAGGCCAAGGCCCTCATTTTACAGAGAGGGAAACTGAGACCCAGGCACTGGGAAAGGCCCCAGAAAATGTGTGCAGGCCCAGTAGTGGCCCCAAAACAGGGTGAGCCTTCCTAGGAAGTGGGGCAATCACAATGACAATGATAACAATAATAACATCACTAGCCCCAACAATAATGAGGAAAACACTAACACATTTATGTAAGTTTGTAGAGCCAATGAGCTTCTGGCTCTCACTCCAAGTCTCCTAACAAGCCTGTTAGGCAGGTTCAAGGTTACTGTCCTCCTCACTTGACCAATGAAGAAGGGGAAGCTCAGACTCCAGCCCAGGCCATGGCAGCTTCCTGACCAAGTTCAGCACTAATCTGTCTAGCAGGCTTTCTCTCTGGAGAGGCCTGGGATGGCTGGAGCAGACCGGAAGGCCCCTTCCCCTCCCCCTCATTTCTCCCCTGCTAGGTTGACAAGATGTCTACAATTCTACCACTAGAGTCATTCATTTAGCTGGCAGCTAAAAGCCATACCTTGGGGCGCAGGGATTTATAGGAGATAGACTCTGGGGGCCAGAGCACACACCTACAGAGAGGATTGGGTACCTTCAGGGAAGCAGCAGATAGAGGAGCAGAGGAGCCCAAGGGGGCAACAGCAATGGTGCCTCCATTAACCTGCCATGGGTAAGACACAGGCCTTGATGATGGCAGCCCTGCCCCAGCCTTACCTCCCACAAACTGGGCCGCTCCCATGCATCGGCCCATGATCCTGGAGATGAGCTCGTCCATGCAGCAACCCAGGATGGCCCCCAGTGCCACCAGGAGCAGCAGGGCACAGCCTGTGCCCGTCACCACAGTGCACATCTGCCAGGCCAGGCTGGGGATGGCGTTAAAGTTGGCATAGCGGCCACACTCTTCCACCATCACCAGGCTGCGCCCTTCACCCCGGACAGGGTAGTTACAACGCCGGAACATGCTGAAGGACACTGGCTTCCCAAGCTGGGAGCCAAAGAGCCAGTAGGGCAGGAAGTAGCTGGTGGTGCTGGCCACAGCGGTGAGCAGAGACAGCACGGCCCAGAGGATCCCAACCAGGGTCAGGCTTCCCTTCATGCTTTCAGAAGACCGAGTGGGACCACCAAAGGCTGCAAAGAGCTTGCAACAGTCACACATGAACCCTGCCTGCCAGCTGAGGCCTGATGGGGAGGCTGATCCCGAGGGCAGAGCAAGATCCAACCCTCTGGAGTAGAATTCTGTCTGGTCTCAGGCCCAAGGCCTTCTCCTGTGGCTCGCGTGGTGGGCTGCTTCTCACTGGTGCTGTGATGGGAGAGGTACAGAACTGTGTTAGTAGCTAGCCCATCCTCCAGCTCAAATCCAAGGTGCTGGGTGGGGGCAGACAGACTTTTCATCAGCCCAGGTAAGCAACAGCCTTGGTCCATCCTAAAGCCTCCCATAGTCCAGCTACAAGGCCCCTTTCCAGGCTGATGGCACATTCTTCTTCCTGCTTTCCCCAAACACCCCATCTGCCACCTCTGAGGTTCTGTACTGGCTGTCCCTCGGGTCTATGGTCTGCACCCTTATCACCTCCCTCGGTTCTTCAAAGTTCAGCTCAGCCGCTCCCTCCCATATGAGACCTTTCCTGAGCCCCCAGCTGCTAATGTCTCTCCCCCTGCCCCCACCCCATCAACATTACTTGTATTTATTCTCTATACTACTGCATGTGTATGTATGTATACATGTTTAATCACGAGATTACAACTCCACTAAGACTCCTAGGACAGCTGGTATTTGAGACACACTTATCCGTACCCCCATGACATGGCATTGGTAGAACGTAAGCCCTTTGAAGGCAGTGCACATCTCACTTTGGTGTCTGTGTTCCCGGCGCTTGGCATACATCCAGTGCTTAATAAATGCTTGAACTGAATTGAATGGAGGGGGGAATTGTGTGACTCCCATCCATGGGCAGCCAGCTTCCTATGGGGCTGCTCAAAGGAGGCCCAGCCAACCCCAGCCTGAGAGGCCTGGGGGAAAGTGCTGACGGTCACTGAGAGATGTCTCGGGAGCTCCCAGCTCCCCAGCAGGTTAATAAGCGCCTACTATGTGCCAGACGGCACTGTGCTAAGCACTTTACAAATATCATCTTATTTGATCCTCATAACTACCCCGGGATAGAGGTGCTATTATTATCCCCATTTTACAGGTGAGGAAACTGAGGTTGAGCCTCTCTAAAGGTTACCAAGAAGAGCTGTCATTTCTACCTCACTTGGGCCTCCCAACAACCTCATGAGGTAAAAACTGTAAGGATCATTATTCCCATTTTAGAAATGAGGAAACTGAGGCTCAGAAAGGGAAAGTGACCGGCCACACAGCTAGTAAACTTTTGAAGTGAGATGTGAATCTGGGTCCTCTCTGATCCTCACAACAACCTTGTGAGGTAAACGCTACAGGATTAATAACCCTCTTTACAGATGAGAAGGAAAGTGACTTACTTGTCCATGACTACTTAGCTAATAAGTTCTTGGGGAGAGATCCCAATGCCTCCCTGCTAGAATGTGCCAATAGCAAGGTTCTGTCCTCCTGGGGATGGAGGGAAGGAGGGGGAGGGAAAGGCTGTGGTGAGGGAGAAGAGAGAGAGAGAGGGACAGAGAGCAGAGACATCGAGAGCCTGGGGGTGCCAAGGGCCAGCATCATCTCGGTCTACAGGGATGGGCATCATTCAGAAGAGCTTCACTGAATCACGGGCCTGGAAGGAACCTTCCCAGGTCATCCACTCTATTCCCCTGCTCCTGCTTATAAGGCAGGTGCCGATTTTTAAAGGGCCTCTCAAAGGTCTGTGCTGCTGTTAATAGCACTCACTGCCGATGCCTTCTTTGTTAGAGCCCTTCCAAATCTCTCCCCCTACAACTAATGTCCAAACCCTCTCGTTGGGCGCTTAGCAGAAAGAGCCAATAGCTGGTCTCTGTACATTCCTAGAGTCTCCAGACCCACACGACACATCTAGCAGGTCATAAACAAGCTCTGAGTGTCCCCAAACATCCAGCATCTGCCCCCTGCCCCCTACTTCCCTCCTGGTTTCTGCTGGTGAGGGCATCACCTCATTTCTCCCTCCTGACTCACCTTGGATTCTTCCCTCTTCCTCACTGGCCATCACCAATCAGGTGCCAGGGTGTGTGGCTTCTGCCTTTCCTGTAGCTTGCCTTTCAGTCGCTTCCCTCCTCTCTGCTCCTCCAGACACCACTCTCGTGCTGGCCTGCACCCCCTCTTTCATGGAGTATTGGGATTGATCTCTGCTTCCAGTCTCCCCTCTCCTGTGTATCCTCTGTATGGCTGCCTAACATACAGATCTAACCAGATCAGTCCCCTGCTGAAAACTCTTCCGAAGCTCCCAGTCACTTTGAGTACAGTCTAAATGCCCTAGGCTGGCACCGAAGGCCTCTATCTACCTACTCTGTAGTCTGTACTGAAACTGGCATCTCTGCTGTTAGATGAGCCCAGCATTCTGGGTTTTTTTTGTTTTGTTTTTTGGGTTTTTTTTTTTTGGTTAGGCAATGGGGTTAAGTGACTTGGCCAGGGTCACATAGCTACTAAGTGCTACATGTCTGAGGCTGTGTTTGAACTCAGGTCCTCCTGAATCCAGGGCCAGTGCTCTAGCCACTGCACCACCTAGCTGCCCCCTGAGCCCAGCATTCTGGCTCCTGGCTCTGCCTTGCAGAGGCTGGGCCCCATGATCGAGATGCCCTCCCTCTTCTCCTCTGCCAGTAGAATTCTTAGCTTCCTTCAAGGCCTAGCTCACCATGCTACCTCCTCCAGGAAGCCTTCCTGATTTCCTCAGTTGTTGATGTTTCCCCCCCTTCTCTAATCACCTTATAGGCACTGTGTGCATAAATGTATCAGGCCAGGGAACCATAAATTCCTTAAGGGAACAGACTGTGTTTAATTTCTGTTGTTTTTGTTTTTGTATTTCTGGGGCCTAGCACAGGCTCTTGTATGCTGTATGACAGAATCACAGAATTTCGGGGGTGGAAATCACCACCAGCTAGGTTGATCCACACTGGAACAAGAGTCCTGTCTATAATTTCCCCCACTAGCGGTTGTCCAGCATCTGACTGAAGCCTTCCACTGAGGCAGGAGAGCCCCTCCATCCCCTTCAGGGTAGCCCAGGCCACCTGGGACATGCACATTGTTAGGAAGTTTTCCTGATAGCCAGCCAAAGTCTGTCTCTGCCACGACCCTCCCTCCATCTACTGCCATAACTCACGTGTCCCCCTCCAACTTTTAACCCAGGCCTACATAACCTGTGGCCCATGGGCAGCTACCGGCCAAAGATTTCTGGTGGCCCACGAAAAATGTAGAGGATGTTTTGCCGGCCACTGGAAATCCTTTGGCAAAATGCAGGTTGTGTAGGCATGCTTTAACCAATCACAGAGCATGGATGTAGAGCCTTTCCCCATCCTGTTTGCCCCCCTGGGTGTATTGGCTATGTCTTTCCTAAACTGTGGTGCCCAGAAGGGACCCCCATGCTCCACAAGTGGCCTGAGCAGAGCAGAGGATGGAGGGACAATCCCCTCCTTATTCCTGGACACTCTTTTTAATGCAGCCCAAGATCAAATGATCTAGGAGGTCAGGGAGTCGGGGCTTCCCTATCTCACTATTGTCTCATGGAGCTTGCAGTCCACTCAAATCCCCAGATCCTTTTCAGGAAAACTACCATGTTACATGGCTGCCTCCATCTGGTATACAAGGCCTCCCTCCATCCCCGTTAGTACCCCCTCCTTCTTGCACTAACTTGGTAATACTTTGTATTTTCTGACTTCAATACAACAAGGATTATTGTAGCCTCCAGTAGAATGTAAACTTAGAAGAGGCAGGGCCTTTGTTTAGCTTTGGTTTCTCCAGGGCCTTTCACAGAGTAGGTATTTAATAATGTCCCCTGAACTGACCTGCTTGCCCACCAGAGCTCTTGGCCCACTGGGAGCCGGCTGATGACGTATCTTGGGCATTAACTGTCCAAGATGAAGAAGCTTCCAGGGGTCTCTACCTCGGAATCCTTTAATCAAGGATACCTGGCTAGTGGATAAAGGGTCAGAGTCTAACCCTGCTTTCAAGGTGGGTGGGTACATTCTAGTCCTGCCTCTGAGACTGGCTTTGTGGCCCTGAGCAAGTCACAAGCTCTCAGATGCAGACCTTTTCCCCACAGGCAGATCCCCCACTAATGAGTGCAGTGAGTAGGGCTGGGAGCCAGTTCTGAATAGGATGGTGGGGGAGTCTCTTGTCCAGCAGCTGCTATGGAAAAGGGCTGGAATCTCGCTCAAGGGGGAAGAGCCGGCCTTGACTGAATTGTCAGTGACACGGAAGGAACTGGGAATGTGCTATTCCTCCCCTTGCTTCTTGCCCTTCTCATCCACCAGCTAGCTGCTGTTCTGGATGTAGGTGACCATGCCTGCGCCCCTTGCATAGCTGTCTGGGAGGGATTTCCTATTTTTCTCTCTCTGCCCTTTGTCTCTTCTGACCACAAGACACCCAAGATGCTGCTGGCATGTGCCCTTTGTAAGTGAATAACTTTCCTGGAGATCTCTCCACTCCTCCTGCCTCCCCTCCCATTTGACACACACCATGTTGCAGATACTCGAACACCTGGAAACTAGGTGGCGCAGTGCACTACTGAGGAACGAACTCTGAGTTCACTGTGCAGTCATGCCACCTGCTAGTTGTGTGACCTTGGACTAATCATTTCATTTCTTTGGGCCTCACTTTCCTTCTCTGTAAAATGAGGGGGTTGGGTCAGATGACCTCTAAGGTCCTTTCCAGCTCTTGATCTAAAAGCCTGTAACCAATGTGGTAAAGGTGTGACTCCTTGGCCCCCTCCCAGACCTTCCCCTTCACCCCACATCCCCATTTCTGTGGTGTAACTCTAACTCATCTCCACTGCAACCTGCCCTTCCCTCTTCCACCTCTCTCCCTCCTCCCTGGATCATTGCCCCTGAAGCCCAAAGTCATGGAATCTCCTGGGGATTTCCCTGCCCCAAACCAGGTTCCCAGCACTAAGCCTGGTGTCCCCTACCACAGCCGGCTCTCTCTGTTTTGTCTGTCTCCCCTATTCCAGCTGCAGTGACGGGTCACAAACAGTGGGCAGTATCTTTGATGGGAGCGTGGCTGGCATGTAAAGGGGGCAGCCTGGTGGCCATCCACTCAGGACTGGTAGAGCAAATGAAGCTGCCTACAGAATTGGAGGGTGTGACCCCAGCCAGGGATTTGGAGAGTGTCAGAGCTGGGCAGGTACCCCTTCATTTAACAGAAGAGAAAACTAAGGCCAGGAGAAGGGAGGTGACTTACTTGCCCAAGTTCCCACAGCTAATACATGGCAGGACCACAAAGTAGAATTAGGAGTAGCCAGGTGGATACCAGATGAAGTTGAGAAGACCTGAGTTCAAATGTGACCTCTGACACTAACTAGCTGTGTGACCCTGGGCAAGTCACTTAACTTTGTTTGCCTCAGTTTCCTCAACTGTAAAATGGAGATAATAACAGTACCTACCTCCCATTGCTTTGTGAGGGTCAAATGAGATAACATTTGCAGAGCGCTCAGCACAGTGTGGCACACAGTAGGCACTATACAAACGTTAGCTCTTATTAGAATCCACATCTCCTAATTCCTAGTCCTGAGTCCTCTCTGCTTCACCATCCTACTTCACTGTATAAAAAGAGAACCTCCCAAATTTGAATGTGGCACCCCCCCTGGGCAGCCTGAAGCTCACTGCGGACTGTAACGTATCTACAGATTCTGGGCCAAAGGAAGATACCTTCCAACATCTCTTTAAAAAAGATACTGTCTCCTACTAGGTGGGCTCCCCTGTGATGCCTCATCACCCTCTCACGGTGTGGGGGTGACCTTGACCTTGACAAGGCTGTGCCTGCAGAGGCGGACTGCCCTGTGTTAAAGCCAAGGTCGGAGAGGGGCCTCACCCATTTCTAGGCCTTGCCTCTTGAATGGGTGCACGCAATGAAACATGGATCTGGAAGCTGATATGGAGCTAAAGAAAGTTATGTTTGATTTAGAAGAAATGGAAGAGAAAGAGACTAGTAATAATGCCAAGAGGCTGCCGCTCTGGCCGCTAATCTGAGGAGAATCAATCTTTGCTATGGAACTAGAGAGGCATGGTGCAGCATGCCTCTGGATTCGGAAGCAGGGAGATCGGGGTTCAAATCTTACCTCTAACACACCCAGAGTGACCCTAGGCAAGTCACCTCACTGCTCTGAGACTCAGTTTTCCATCTGTAAAATGGGGATAATAACAGCACCAATCTCAAATAACAAAATATATAGAAAACACTCTACAGAAGTGTCAGCTGTTTTTCTGCACCACTCCAACCTCCACCATTTTACCAATTGAGGCTCAGAGAAGGAAAGAGATCAGCCCAGACCACCAAGGGAATTAAAACCAGAGCTAGGACTTGGACCAGGCTCTCCCCCCTGCTCCTGCCTGCTCTGCTAAAATGTCTTTCTTTGAGGCAGCTAGGTAGAGCAGTGGATAGAGCACCAGCCCTGGAGTCAGCAGGACCTGAGTCCAAATCCAGCCTCAGACACATGATCCTCACTAGCTATGTGACCTTGGGCAAGTCACTTAACCCCAACTGCCTCGAAAAAAAAAATCTTTCTTCTCTCGAATTTCACAATAGCCATACATGCAAAGGGGGCCTCCACACTGATTTCCAGAGCTCCTTCCCTGGCACCTCAGCCCTCTGCCCCTGGGTACCACACACCTCTGGCCTGGTGGGCATACCAATCTCAATGCCAATCTGATTCCAAGGCTACTTCCCTACAGACTTACAGAGCCAGAGGGGTCCAACTCCTTCCCTTCACCCCAGTATCCAAGAGTGTCCTTCCCCTCTGAACTTCTTTTGCGCTTCTCCATTTTCACAAATTTGCTCAGTTCAATTCTCTTGCTCTGCTCTAGGAGCTGGGTTGCGGGCGGGGGGGATTCAGGTGGGGAGGGGTGGCAAAGGCACAAGCCAGACACCTCTCCTCCCTGCCCCTGTCCCTGATCTCTCTCTGATGGAAGGAAGCAGACAGTGGAGCCAATGACAGAACATGAAAACCAGATGCGGGGCAGGCAGGGCTAGGATTGAAGTCAGGGCCAATTTTCTCACCTCTGGAGCTGTCCAGAAGCGGAGTGGAATGCCCCTAAGAGGCGAGGGCTTCCCTCTCCCTGGGGGCCTGCCAGCGCTGCCTGTTATGCTGGGGTGGGGGGCACTCTTCCACATCCCCTAGATGCCAGGTGCCTTGCTAGGCTCCTTGGGGCCATACAGGCAAAACCAAAGCAGATGGTCACTGAAGAGGTCCCTCCATCCCTTCAGATTCTTAGGGCTACATCTGGAGTCAAAGGACCTGGCTTTCAGTGAGGACTCTGCCACTTACTCTCTGAGTGACATTGGGCAAGGCTCTTCCTCCCCCTTTCTGGGTCTCAGTTTCCTTATCTGCCAAATGAGAAATGTGGACTAGAAAGCAACTAAGGTCTCTTTCAGCCCTAAGTCTCTCACCCCATAATCTCCCTGTCCCTCCCCCCTTCTCACCACGCCCCCATCTCTCTTCCTTCTCTCCTCTCCTTCAATCCTCGAGAGACGGGGCGAAGAGTTTAACCTCGGACTTCTTTTTCCAACGGAGTCAAAGGGGGAAGAGAATGGGAGGGGAAAGGAACCCGAGCCCGGGCAGGGGGCCGGTCGGGTGCTCGACGAGCCTCCAGGCAGGAGGCACTGAGCCGACTGCTTGGTCTGTAGTGCGAGCCTGGGGCGCAGGGTCGGGGGTAGGAGCCGCCTCAGAGGAGAGGAGCCCCTGACCTTGGTCCTAGGGGGTGGGGGGGGGCAAGCTTAGCCTCAGACAGCAGAGTTCCCTCCTTACCCTGAAAGCTGTAAGGCTTGGCGTTCTGAGGCTCACAGGGAAGGCACTTGCCAGAGTCGGACCGGCCTGGGCTCAGAGCCGCCGCTGGCGCCTCTGCCGCCTGGGGTCGGCCTGTCGGGGGTCCGTCTGGGGTCCGTCTGGGCGTTGGGAGCTCCGAGGCCAAGTTCTCCAGGCTGGGAGGGGCTGGGCTGGGCAGCGCTCTGCCACTGACCACCGAGGGGCTGGCCACGCTGCTCCTTTAGCTGAGAGGGGAAGAGTCCGCCCACCTCCTGAGGGTCATTGACGCAGGCTCCTCCCGCCTCCTACCACGTCCGCCCGCCCAGGCCCCCCTCCCCCCCGCCCCGCTTCCCCCCTTCTCTCCCCTCCCCCTCAACTCCAGGCTATCTGGTCTCTGAAGCCCAACCAGCTGCCTCGACAATAATAGTTTCTATGACAGTCTATCGATCTGGAGTCGGAAGGGACCATCACACTCATTTGACAGAGGAGGAAACTGAGGCCAGAGAAGGGAAATGCCTTGCCCAAGGTCATACAGAGAGTAAATGACAGAGGCAGAATTTGAACCCAGGTTTCAAAGGATCAGAGTTGTAGTTGGGAAGGCCCTTAAAGGTCACCTGGTACAACTCTGTCCACGTTATTAGAGCTTCCATACTGTAAGGAACAATCAGATTTTCTGTAACAGTCTATAGCTCCAGAGACAGAAAGGATTTTAGAGATCATCTGGGTTTTCACCCTCATTTTACAGAGAAAGAAACTGAGGCCCAGGGCCGTGAAGGTCATGTAGATAACACTGGGCGTAACAAATGAAGGGACCTGAGTCCAAAGATTCGAAGGGGCTCTGGCTTCAAAGATTGCTATTGCTCTGGGTGACCTTGGGAAATTTTCATAACTTTTCTGGGCCTTGGTTTCTTTATTTGTATCAAAAGACCTCTACAATGCCTGCCAGTGCTAAGTCTCTGATCCAAAGTGGTAGAGGCAGGGATTTGAGCCCAAGCCTTCCCAACTCCACCATCCAGCAATCTTTCCACTGTGCTGCATGTTCTAGAGGCTTACTTCTGGGGAAGCAAGAAATGCAAGTCTTATTATCCCCATTTTACAAAGGAGGAAACTGAGGCCCAGAGACAGTCACACAGCCAGTAAGTGGCAGAGTCTGAATTGAAACTCTAAATCCACATGCCTTACCAAAGCTGTGCACAGAAAACTATTCAAACAGGAAATGATCAGTTTCCCAAAGTGAGTATGTGGGGGGTTGGTGGGAAGCAAACTTCCACCGTCAGCCACTCAGAGTCTGGAGAGGTCTCAGCTCGTTACCTAGGCCAGTGTTCTATACCCAGTAGATACTGGGCTGGGCCAGGATTTGAATAAGGTGCAGAGGCCTAGCTTCTGGACTAAAGTGCCAATCTCCTGACCCACTCCCAGGTCAGGGCTCTCTCCACTGTGTATGAAGTCCCACCCTGACTCCTGGCATCTCTGTTCAGCCTAACTGAAGTTGGGCACTAGTGCTTGGGCACAAGGCTGAGCCCAGCATCACAGGAAGCCACCTTCTGCAAAGCTGTGGTGAAAAGAGCTAGACTGGGTGCAGCAGGAGGCAGTCTGCTCCAGTGTGGCTGCAGGGAGAGCCAGAGCAGAGGATCGGAGCCTGAAGAAACCTCCAGGGCTACAGGGAGGACATCACATGGAGGCCTAGAGAGATGAAGGGCTTTGCCAAGGCAGGGAATGCCAGAGGCAGGATCTGAATCCAAGTCCTGGGAATTCAAGACCATTGCTCTTCCCACTCTCCGCTCTTTGAGTCCCAGTCTCCTCATCTACAGACCTTTAACGGTCCTCCCAGCTCTACATGGCTGATGCCCATGACTCCTGCAGCAATGAAGGATGGTCCCACACAGTTTCATTTAGCTCTTTCTGTGGCACGTGTGGGAGTCTGGGATCCACAAGGACAGGGCCCGTGACCCAGCCTCCTCCAGCACAGTCCTGAGCCCTAAATGAGCCTGGAATGGCTATCCAGCTAGTGCCTCAAAGTTGGCACTGCCTCTAGGAGGTTGGATTATCCCCATTTTTCAGAGCTGGAGTGACTTGCCCAAAGTCAATATTGAAGTGTCCAGGGTCTGAACCCAGGCCTCCCTGACTGAAGTCAGGTCAAGCTTCCAAGCCACAGAGGGCCTGAGATGGCAGGGGGACAGTCTCGGGACTCTCCATTTTATATCCCCACTGTTTCCTATGATCCAGCCCACCCTGATCCAGGATGCAAGCCCCTGAGATACCCACTGTTTCTGTAGCTTGCTAGTTTCACTGTATAGAACAAACATGGACTTGTGATTACTGCCTAGAAAAAGGCACCTGATGTCCTCAGGAGACACATCTTCTGATTTAGAATTGGAATCCCCCTCACCTCAGATCAATGAGCTCCGAGAATCTCACTGCCATAGCTGGAGGCCAGCTTTGGCACAATGACTTAGACACTTCCTTGGGCCATGCATGACTCAGCCACCATTCTAGAGGGCACAAGAATAGCCCAGACAAATGGCCTGTTTCCTTGGCCATTGGAAAGATCAAAGGTTCAGGCCTCTCTCAGGGCTAGTCAGAGTGACTCACCCCTCCCTCCATTAGCTCCCCTCCTCCCACCTCCCCTACTTCCAGTGAGGGTACCGCCATCCTCTCAGCCATCCAGTTTTATAAACTGAGAGCCTTCCTGGACGCTGCTTTTTTTTTCTTTTCTTTAATCTATTTTTTAAATTAATTTATTTTGATTTATCAACAATCGCTGCCATAAGCTTTTGGTTTAAAATTTTTCTCCCCCTCCCTCCCCACCTCCCTCCCCAAGACTACGCACAATCTGATAGAGGCTCTACATATACATTCCTATTACACACATTTTCACATTAGTCATGTTGTAAGGAAGAATTAGAACAATAGAAGGAACCACCAGAAAGAGGAAACAAAACAAAACAGAAGAAAAAAATGACAAATACTATGCTTCGATCTGCATTCATACCCCATAGTTCTTTCTTTGGATGTGGACAGCATTTTCCATCTTGAGACTTTTGGAGATGTCTTAGATTCTTGCATTGCTGAGAAAAGCTAAGTCTATCAAAGTTAGTCATTGCTCAACATGGCTATTACTATATACAGAGTTCTCCTGGTTCTGCTCACTTCACTCAGCATCAGTCCATACAAATCTTTCCAGGTTTTTCTGAAGTCGGCCTGCTCATCATTTCTTATAGCACAGTAGTATTCATTCCATTCATATACCACAACTTGTTCAGCCATTCCCAAATAGATGGGCATCCCCTCAATTTCCAATTCTCAGCCACCACAAAAAGAGCTGCTATGAATATTTTTGTACATGTGGGTCCTTTTCCCATTTGTATGATCTCTTTGGGATACAGCCCTAGAAGTGCTATTGCTGGGTCAAAGGTTATGCACATTTTCATAGCCCTTTGGGCACACTTCCAAATTGCTCTCCAAAATGGTTGGATCAGTTCACAACTCCACCAACAATGCATTAGTGTTCCAATTTTCCCACATCTTCTCCAACATTTATCATTTCCTGTTTTGTCATGTTGGCCAATCTGATAGGTGTGATGTGGTACCTCAGAGTTGTTTTGTATTTCTCTAATCAATAGTGATTTAGAGCATTTTTTCATGTGACTATAGATGGCTTTAATTTCTTCCTCTGAGAACTGCCCGTTCATATCCTTTGACCATTTATCAATTGGGGAATGTACCCTGCTTTTTTCTTACCACTCTGATTTACTTGGTTGGAAAGTTGTTGATTCTACCTCCTCAAATCTTCTCTCAGGGCAGCTAGATAGCACAGTGGATAGAGCTCTGGGCTTGGAGTCAGGAAGACCTGAATTCAAATCTAACCTCAGACACTTCCTGGCTGGTAACTCTGGGCAAGTCACTGAACCTCTGTCTTAGTTTCCTCAACTGTAAAATGGGGATAGTAATAGCCTGTATCTCCTAGGGTTGTTGTTCATTCATTTAATAAATATTTATTAAATACTCATTGTGTGCCGTGTACTGTGCTAAGCTCTGGAGGAAAGAAGAAAATGACAGTTCTTGCCCTCAAGGAAGATCAAATGAAATAATATTTGTAAAGTACTTAGCACAGTGCCTGGCACATAGTAGGTGCTTAGCAAATACTTATTACCTTCCTTTCCCCTTCTCTCCATTCACATAATCTCTAACCTCAGTCAGGCCCTCATTACCTCTTGTCTAGGCAACCTCCTCCATGGTCTCCCGGCCTCCACGCTCTGTTCTCTCAAATTTGGCCTCCATACAGCTACTAAAACTTTTCTAAAGCATAGCTCTGATTCACCATTCACCAACTCAAGAAGCTTTGTGGTTTCTCTGATTCAATACAAACTCCTCTGCTTGGCATTTAAAGCCCTTCCAAATCTGGCTTTAGAATGATTTACTTTTCTCTTTTGAAATTTGATATCAATACTCTTTTGGAAAGATTATTTCCCAATGACTCCCCCCCTTCCACTATCCCCACCACCAATAGATAGAACCCTCTCACAAAGAAATATGATTAAGCAAAACACACTGACACATTGGCCATGTCATTGCACACCTCTAGCCCATCACCTATCTGAAGGAGTAGAAGGCATGCCTGGTTCACTATCACTCCCCTGAAGTCACAGTTGATCACTGCATTGATTCAGAAGTCTTTTGAGGTTGTTTTTCTTTCTGTTATTGTAGTCATTATGCAAATTGTACTTCTGGTTCTGCTTATATCACTTTGCATCAGTTCATACACACAACTCTTCCAAAGTTTCTCTGAATTCTATTGCAATAATATTCCATTACATTCATGAACCATTCCTCAATTCTTTGTTTCCAGCTCTCTCCTACCATAAAAAGTGCTGCTACAAATATTTTGGTGTATATGGAATATTTCCCTCTGTATTTGACCTCCTTGGGGGTATATGCCTAGCAGTGAAATCACTTGGTCAAGGGGTATGTACAATTTTAGTGACTGTCCTGGTACAACTCCAAATTGTATCCTAGAACAGTTAAACAGATTCATAGTTCCACCAGTCTCTCCCCAGTCCCTCCAGCATTAGCCATTTTTACCTTTTGTCATCTTTGCCAATTTGATGGGTAGAACCCATCCTACTTTTTCCAACTTATTTCATTTCTGGTACTTTTCCTCCCACACAGTACATTCCAGTCTAACTGGCCATCTGAGTACTCCTCGTACATACCATTCTGTTTCCTACTTCTGTAACTCTGAACATACTGTCC